TCCTGACCCATGCTCTGAACCAGCCCAGAGCTGGGTACCACTGAGTCTGCTGCGGGACTCAGACTCAGCAAGGCGTAACTGTTGGCTGCGTTGCTGCTGGCAAATTGACCATCATAGTCACCTGTGTTATCACGGACTCTGTCAGACCGCGGAGCCCAAGGGTTGGGTAATGGTCTCCGGTTTTCGGTATGGGCCGGTAGCCTGGCTCCGCTCAGGGGTGGGTTACTGTCCAAGGAAGCAAAGGGGTTGTTGCCCAACTGGTCCTGCACAGCATCCAGGATGGGCTCCTCGATTTCCCTGTACAGCTGCTCCAGAGCGCTGTACCCACCGGGGATGCTTTCGAGGTTGTTCATGGCCACGTCGTGGTTCCTTATCACCTCTTGCATTATGGCAGGATTGCTGGAGGCCTCTAACATTTCTCTGAAGGTTTGTGGGTTGGTGAGAATCTGATTGATCTCAGGATTTTTTTCAGCCAGCTGCTGCATATGAGGGTTGGACATGATGAGATCCCTGACAAGGTCGGCGTTGTCAAGGATGTTCTGCAGCACAGTACTCTGCACCGTCTCACTTACCAAGCTGGACACGTCTTGTTCTTGAATGCTACTCACCAAGTCCAGCATGTCTGTTGAGTCTGGGGACAGGAGCTGCACACCCGTTACCCCAAGGAGGAACCCTAGCAAGAATGAGTTGTTGTTGATGATGTTCAGATCCAGGCCTGAACTGAGGATCCTAGACAAGAGGTCCTGCATGGTCTGGGCCACTATTTCCTGGCTGGAGGTCAACAGCTCAGACAAGTTATGATGGATGGAGCATGGGGTCTGCAGATCAGCTATGCTTCCCAAGTAGAGTAAGTTGACATTACTGTGGCTGGGAGGTTGCATTGGGGTGGTCACTCTTCCTTGATCGGCCAGGCCGTCCTGCGGTCTCTTTTGGGACCTGATCACAACGTGGATGCTGACCCCACTGTGAACTCCATGCTGGCTCAAAGTGTCTTGATCCTTGAGGATTTTCCCAGCAAATATCAGGACCAGCAGATCAGGGGGTGTTCTGAAACGCTTGGCAACTTCTTCCTTAAACTCCTGGATGGTGCTGCTCTGAGCAACCTCAAGCTGCTCCTTCTGCTTGAGAGTCTTCACGGTCACTTTGATGATATTTGAGGAACCCGTGGTGACATCAGGTTGACTATGCTCTGCTGACCCTTTGCTCTTGGACATGGTGGCTTTGAGACCAGGACTGTGCTTTGGTCTGTCGAAAAGCAGAGGTGCTGTCAGGAGGTTGGAAGCAACAGGGGACAACAGCTGCCAGCTGAAAGAGGGGGGTGGCTGTTGCCCCCGCTATGGTGGCAGCTGCCGGGAGGGAGCAGGGACACGGGGGCAAGGACCACCTCTCCCCGCAGTGCAGACCGAGGGCACATACCAGCCAGATGTTGCACAGCTGCTCTGCTCACTCACCAGCCGAGCAGTCCCCCCATGTTCCTTGTCCAGCTGTGGCCTCCTGCCCACATAGAACTGTCATGCAGCCCTCCCTGTGCTATGACATCACTGCTGATGTCAGAGTGAGCAGCAATGGCCTGGAGAGGGAGCACCTCCCTTGGAGATGAGCTCAGGTTTCCTCGCCTCCACCGTTCCCAGCCAACCTCGTCCCTGGGGCATGGGAAGGACCACAACATGGGAAAACCTGGGCTCAGGGGACTCCAGGACCATTTCCATTCAAGGTGACCCTTGAAGGAGCCCTCATCCCACTCTGCTCAGCGCTGGCCAGGACACACCTGGAATCCTGTGCCCAGTTCTGGTCCCTGCTGCACAAAAAAGCTGTGGGCAGGCTGGAGGGGTCCAGAGCAGGGCCACCAAGGTGACCCAAGGGCTGGGAAGCCTCTCTCCGCCGTATGGGGATGGGCTGGGAGAGCTGGGTTTGTTCAGCCTGGAGCACAGGAGGCTCCGGGGGGATCTCATCCCCACGTCCCAGTGCCTAAGGGGTGGCTACAGGGAAGATGGAGGCTCCCTTGTCACAAGGATTCCCATGGAGAGGACGAGGGGGAACGCACACCAGTTGATCCTGACAATATTCCGACTGGGCACGAGAGGGAAATGTTTCCCCATGAGAAGAGTCACCCATTGGAATAATCTCCCCACGGGAGGGGGTGACTCCACCACACTGGGCACTGTCAAGCCTCAGCTGGACGGGGTGCTGGGCCATCTTGTCTGGACTGGGCTCTGGCGCAGAGAGGTTGGGCCAGGTGATCCTGGAGGTGCCTTCCAGCCTGGGATTCCATGACTCTCTGGTTCTATGACCACCACACCCGGCCGCTTGCAGGCTGGCATCACCAGCCCCATTGCAAAGCTCCCAGGCACCCAGCCTCTCCGCTCTGGACCGTGCTCCCCTGTTTTGCTGAACACCCCCCTCCTGCCAGGTTTGCTTCAGGGATGCAAAGCAACCTGAAGCTTCGCATCCTGTGCCCACCAGCCCTTGGGTCCTTCTGGGGTTTGGCTGCCCACCCTGCGCACCCCCGGCCAGGGTCAGCCCTCTCCTCCTGCAGGCACCTCACAGTGCAGCCCCTTCCCGACACCCTGGACCCCAGCTATCTGGGAAGGAAATATCCCCCTTCTCCAGCCCAAGCCCAGGAGCACCCTCACCTTTTCAGCCGGGAAACACCACCACCACCACCGAGTGCCCTGGGAGCTTATCTGAGTTTCATCCCCGAGACCACCCTGGTGCAGATGCTCCCAGGTCGGAGCCATGCAGGCTGTGCAGTTTCCACACGCTTTGCGCCATCCCCACCTTCCACTCCACGCTCGCAAAGCAAACACACTCCGGAGCCGGTGGCAGAACAGATCTCTCCTTCGCCCAGCTGCTGTTTGTCTCAGAACAAGACCAAAAAGGGGTAAATTTGCCTTAGCATCCTGTGTTTTATTTCTTGCTTGTGTGACGCCTGGGAAAAGTTTCCACAGTCCCCGGGTTGGTGCTGAATTTCTTCACCTGCAGAATTCAAAGTCTGACTTCCTTGGAGGCAATACAAAAGCCCAGGAGCACACCAGAACAGCAGCTCCGTTTGTGCAGCCTTTTTCCATAGCTTTCAGGTTATTTGAGGTTGATATCAATTTTCTAAATTACAGAAGTTTTCTCTTGGACAAAAGTCTTCTGATCCAGTCACAGAGTGCTTGTTTCATACCTGCTACCCCTGGCAGCTCCTCGAAGGACGCAGCATGGCCTCTGCTTTCCGACGGCATGCCGGGAGAAGAGCACTCCCCAGCACTCGCGTTTGCCACCTGGCACCCAGTGCATGCACACGTCAGTGGATTGTCACCCCCTGGGGTATTTTCAGGATTGCTCGCTGATTGCTCAGAGTTGCCACTGATACCTGCTGGAAGGACAATTCAACAGGTCTCAAGCAACCTGGGAGATTTGTAGATACACCAACAGCACCTTCCTGGCCCAGGTGAGGAAGGAGCCAACAGGTATAGGGGCTCTGCTGGACCTCGTAATGTGAAACAGGGACAAACTGGTCAGGGATGTGAATGTTGGAGGCAGCCTTGGCCACAGTGACCATGAGATGGTGGAGGTCGGGTTCCCGGGAGGAGGGAGCAGGGCCTGGTCTCCTCCAGTGGCTTCACCACGAGTGATGGGAAGGGGAACCCAGATGGGGCAGGGTGACAAGGAAGCGGTAGGACGGCACTGTGGCTGCCAAAAGTCTCATCACCAAGCACTAGAGGAGATGTTGTACCTGGTCTCAAGGTGCCAGCAGCATCTATCCTTGCCTAGAAGAGCCCTTCCAAAGAGAATGGGCAGGGGCATCTCAGAAATAAAACCAATTATCACATGGCAAGCATGCCCGTAGGTAGAGCTGAAGGCCAAAGCAGGCATGGGGGCTGCTGCTTGGTCCCCTGCCACTCTGGAAGCCAAAGATCTCACTGAGGTAAAGACTTTGTACCCAGTAACTTCCACTTTCCACATGGGCGTACATAGTAGGTACAGTCACCGCTGGAAAATCTGCTGTTGCTCTCACGACCTTCTCACGGGAGTTAATTGTTCTCATTATTCAAAATAAGGCTTTTATTTCCAATCAGAATCTCTGGCTTCACTTTCCATTCATTCAGATTCATCCTTCTCAAGGGCATTACAATGATCCTGAGCATCAGGTGTTTCCTCCTGAGACTTCCACCCTGCAATGAAGGTGCCTCAACAGCTCTTTAAAGAATTAATATGTTTTGCACCCTTTATAGATCAGGCGTTTTCTCCAGCACGCGACTAACGAGTCTGCTCTGCCTCCCTCCTCTCCAGGCTTGCTCACTAGCCTTTAAAACACCAACCCCAAACCAGGGGGCAGGACTGCAGCTCCACTTTCACCATGAGCAAGCCTCACTGCTGCATGAATGGCATTAACCTACTCGATCATTTGAAGGCTAGAACAGACCATGGGTTCACAGAATCCCAGAATCCCAGGATGGAGGGGGTTGGCAGGGACCTCCGGAGCTCACCCAGTGCCACCCCCCTGCCCAAGCAGGCTCACCCAGAGCAGGGCGCACAGGACAGCGGCCAGGCAGGGGTTGAAGATCTCCAGAGAAGGAGACTCCACAGCCCCCCTGGGCAGCCCGGGTCAGGGCTCCATCACCCTCACAGTCAACAAGTTCTTCCTCCTGTTCAAATGGAACCTCTTCTGCTTCAGGTTGTGCCCATGGCCCCTTGGCCTGGCGCTGGGCACCACTGGGAAGAGTCTGGCTCCATCCTCGTGACCCCCACCCTTGAGATATTTGTAGGTGTTGATGAGATCCCCTCTCAGCCTTCTCTTCTCCAGGCTGAACAAGCCCAGCTCCCTCAGCCTTTCCTCGTTGGGGAGATGCTCCAGTCCCCCCGTCATCCTTGTTGCTCTCCTCTGGACTCTCTCCAGGAGTTCCTCATCCTTCTTGAACTGGGGAGGCCAGAACTGGACCCAGTGCCCCAGGTGGGGTCTCACTGGGGCAGAGCAGAGGGGGAGGAGAACCTGCCTCGCCCTGCTGGCCACGCTGCTCTTGATGCACCCCAGGATCCCATTGGCCTTCTTGGCAACAAGGGCACCCTGCTGGCTCATGGCCACCTTGCTGTCCACCAGGACCCCCAGGTTCCTCTCAGCAGAGCTGCTTCCCAGCAGGTCAGCCCCCAGCCTGGACTGGTGCGTGGAGTTCAACCTCCCCAGGGGCAGGAGGTTTGTTTGAGCCCCAGACAGGTCAGCCAGGCCAAAAGCCTTCACTTGTCCTCCACTCAGCCCAGCAATGGGTGTTTTATAGAGATCTTTACTCTCAAATTTCTGCAGTGAGATGTGCCTTGTTCCCTGCACTCGCATGGCGCAGGACAGAGCACCCCCTGGGGTACACCCCACCCTCCGGGGGCTGCCCCCCTCGAACAACCATGAGTTGCCAGAGCAGAGCTCTGGATACAGCCCTGTCTCTGCACTTCCCCACTGCTCCAGGAGGGTTCGCCGCTGCCTTCCAGCGCACAGCGCCATCGGCCACCAGTGATCGCTCTCCGGTGTTTATTAGCCACCAGGGTCGCTCCTGTGGGCTTTCAGACAAAAACGCCTCCTTCCACGTTAGCCTGCATCAAATGCAGCGCGCGCCGCCGCTGACCCGCGCTCACGTGTAGAGGCAGCCACTGCACAAATGCAAACGTCAAAGCTTCTTGTCTGCAAGCCTTCAGAACGTTGGTGTTGGCAAACTGCGTTGGCTTGTGCCACAGCTCTGGAGCAGATTGGATTTCGGGCATGGACGAAAGCCGAGCGCCTCTGCCCCTGCCTCTCCCTGCTGGCCCTGGAGCCCTCCCCTGCTCGGAGGGGAAACCTTCGGGAGGGGGGCGATGCCCTCCGCTCCTGCTCTCCCCACCCCGCGCCCCCACACTGCACACAGTGCCTGCCCCACAGAGCTGCCTTTTGTCACCCTTCTGAGCATCAGCACAGGGCTGGGCGGGAGGACACCGTGACAGCCCACAGAAAGTTTCCTGCTTTAATCATAGAATGTTTTGGGTTGGAAGGGACCCCTAGAGGTCACCCAGCCCAACCCCCGGGGCCGGCTGGCACAGCTGAGGGGAGCACCCGGCTGGTCCCCTGAGCTCAGCATGCCCAGGCCAGCTCTCAGGAGAGCAGAGCATCTCCCCAGGAGCAGGTCAAGGCCCCGCATGTGGGTGGTGCCGGGTTGGAAATCACCGCCCATGGGATTCTGCTGTACGAGTGGCGCCTCTGAGCTGGCCACCGG